GCAAGTATAGATACATTCCTGTGCTCTTATCGATATTGCTGTAATACGCGTTCAAAGTTGAAAAAATGCTCGAATAAGCAGTGTTTTTACATTTTAGTGATTTTCTCAAAAACTACAATAGATAGAATTGATTCAAACGATCCATATGAAAGTTAGATATTAACTAAATGTAGCGAGTATTCAAATATTGCTGTTAAGTTCAAATTTAAGACAAATTTGTTTTAATTAAAAATTATGCACTGTATTTATTTTTTATTTTTATATAATATTTTCGGTTCGTAACTGTGCAGGTTGTAAACATAAATTTAACGACAATCTCGACTTGTATCATTGAAATCGTACAGATTATAAATAAATATTGAACGACATGCATTTCAATTTATATACGTGAACGAAGAGAGGCAAAAGTTTCTCGAGTGAACGAAGAGTTTATTGACATCGCCTTTTCCTTTTCGGTGTTAATATCATTATCATTATTATTAGTATCGGCTCAGCTCGTTTATTTTTTTCGAACCGAAATATTCACCTTGAGACACGGATTCCGTTTGGAGACCCGAAAACCACTTACACACACACACACATCCAAATACATACAAACATATACACACACACACACGTATACTCATACTCTCCTCTCCAAACAAGACGATACACAAATCCGATGACCCTAAGTCAAGTGTGCCAGGTAAAAAATACAGCATCGCATTGCCGCCATAATCTTACGTCAGACAAAAAAAAACAAACAAACAACAATTGAAAATCAATAATAAACAATGTTCTGTTCGATAACATTTATTGTTTATTATCTAAGGGACTTCATTCTGTTCAACTCATTATCGGTTTTACATTGAATTCATATCGGCGATGCATTCGTTCCAGTTTGTTTATCTTTCAGTCCAGTTTTCAGCGTTCGTTTCCAGTTTCTAAGGAACAACCGTCTTTTATTTATTTATTATTATTATTCGTTCCCGTGATCATCTGTCACGAACACGCATCGTTACCATGACTACCGGTCTTTTTCGTGACCTCGAGACCTCCGGTTTTCATTTTCTCATTAAACTATTCATCAATCATAACTATTTAAGTCACATTTTTTTTATTCAATTTCATTGATTGACATTTTATAGTAAAATATTGAATTTTATAGTTGCAATAATGAAAAATATATTCTAAAACTCAATCATGATTGAACAGTTTGAGCTATAATGTATGTATTTTTCTTAGTTTTCAAGAAATTTTCGATCAAATTATAATTCGTAAATTATTTGAAAGATGTAAAGACTTTCATTTTTCAGTACGTCATTTTTGACAGTAAATTACATGAATATCACAAATCTCATAGAAATACCATTACACTCATATTATTCCTTATAGTTTTAGCTTTAATTTGTATTTTAAATTTTTTATTTATCTATTGTACTTTTCGAGAAATTTGATAAAATGTAAAGACATTCATTCTTCAAGGCCCCAATTTTTCAGTAGGTCATTTTTGACAGTAAATTACATGAATATCACTAATCTCATAGAAATACCATTACACTCATATTATTCCTTATAGTTTTAGCTTTAATTTGTATTTTAAATATTTTATTTATCTTCGGTACTTTTCGAGAAATTTGATAAAATGTAAAGACATTCATTTTTCACCGTCTCAATTTTTCAGTAGGTCATTTTTGACAGTAAATTACATGAATATCACTAATCTCATAGAAATACCATTACACTCATATTATTCCCTGTAATTTTAGCTTTAATATGTATTTAAATATTTTATTTATCTTCGGTACTTTTCCAGAAATTTGATAAAATGTAAGGACATTCATTTTTCAACGTCCCAATTTTTTAGTACGTCATTTTTGACAGTAAATTACCAGAATATCACAAATCTCATAGAAATACCATTATACTCATATTATTCCCTGTAATTTTAGCTTTAATATGTATTTAAATATTTTATTTATCTTCGGTACTTTTCCAGAAATTTGATAAAATGTAAAGACATTCATTTTTTAGTACGTCATTTTTGACAGTAAATTACATGATTATCACAAATCTCATAGAAATACCATTACACTCATATTATTCCTTGTAGTTTTAGCTTTAATATGTATTTTAAATATTTCATTTATCTATTGCACTTTTCGAGAAATTTGATAAAATGTAAAGACATTAATTTTCAACGTTTTTGGTCCAATGTGAATAGTTTGCTTCAATTTATTAGGAGAAATCTATGTGAAAAAATATTATATGTAAACAAAATATATTTGATGAATCATTTTAAGAAATATTAAAAAAAAAAGTGATGTCAAAATTGGTTTCTTCCAAGATTTTTTTCTTTTCCTGCAAATAAATCAAATCGACATGGAAATAAACAAAACATGTTTGTTTACAGTACTTTTGACAGTAGTGCGAACATCATCAAACTTTGCAACGTTTACATTCGACCTCGGTTTATTGAAAGAGGCGATTTTTGAATTTCTACAGTGTTTATATTTGTGTGGAGTTGACTTCTGAAGAAGTGTAGCAGTGAAGTTTGTATAAAGAGCAGAGAATGTCGCTGATGAATCGAAGCACTTTGGGTGGAGGAGATGGGATCAGGGGGAAGGTTGGAAGCGGTGGCGCCACCGGCAGTCCCCCTCGCAGCGTCCCCAAGAAGCGGACGCCGGTGCCGTCGAGCAGGAGATTTGCAACACGCGGTGCTACACCTTCAACGCCCGGACTCAAGGAGCGGTTGCGAGAGGCTATAGAGACGTACAGCACTCCACCGCAGAGTCCGTTGCGAAGGAGATCTCTTACCGTCGCCGAGATCACGCCGACGAGGACCAAAAGCAGCATCAAGTAAACAAAAAAAACATCCACATCAGACATCAAACACCTAAAATCAGACCAAATCCTTCAGTACTGTATTTGTCCTTTTCGCATTAAAATTCCCCGATCGTGAACCTATTTGGTAATACTACTCAGTATGTGTGTGTGTGTGTATATATGCATCCCTTAACGTTTACACGCAACCCCATATACATATACAATTTAACTAACAATTTAAATTGGTAACACTGACAATTGACAATTACGTAAGCAATTGACGTTTCTTTGTTTTTGCCATCTGCATTCAAAATTATGAGCAGTGGCGGAACTTTAACTTTTTGCGCGGGGTCCAATTGAAATCTTTTAGATATCTCATAGAAATCTTATAGAATAACCTCATACGAATTAGTTTTAGAAATATCATTAAAAAACCTTTAGAACTTGCATAAAAATCTCATAAAATTATTAATTTTAAATAAAACATCAGCATAATCTAACGATTAAATGATTAATTATCATTTAATTAAAATAAATATGTAATGTTTTTAGAAAATTACCAATGATTAGAGTTGCTATTAGTAATACATATTTTTTTTTTGTTAATAATAGTAAAATATAAGAAAGAAATGTTCGATAGGAACAACATTCTATTTACTTGCTTTGATTTGCTAGATAAGAAAGTGTTTTTACATTTGATCATTGACTAACGGCAAATCTAATTTAATACCATAGATAACATTTTTTGTTTTTATGAATCAAAGCAGAAAATTTTGATTACTGCAATCAAATTAAATTTAATGATCACTTATTTTTGTAAAATTTTCTCAATATTATTATTCGAATTAACAACAAAACTATAGAGATTTTTTCCAAATTCAAATTTGGTATTTTATCAAATATTTTTTATTGTTTTTTAAGTGAAATGCAGAAGACAAATTCAAAAGTTACATTTCAAAAGTTAATCAATTTTTCAGTAGGTCATTTTTGACAGTAAATTACATGAATATCACTAATCTCATAGATATACCATTATACTCATATTATTCCTTATAGTTTCAGCTTTAATTTGTATTTTAAATTTTTTATTTATCTATTGTACTTTTCGAGAAATTTGATAAAATGTAAAGACATTCATTTTTCAACGCCCCAATTTTTCAGTAGGTCATTTTTGACATTAAATTACTTGAATATCACTAATCTCATAGAAATACCATTATACTCATTAGTTACATTTCAAAAGTTAATTTACCAATGTTAACAGATTATCTTAAGAAACTTTTAATTTTATTATTTACATTTTTTTTTGTGGTCCATCAAATCGTACTTTTTAATTAACTATTTATTTGATCTATATTTTATGCAAAATCTCTAAAGCAATTCAACTTTCGACACTTTTAGTTTAAATATTTGGAAAAATTATCAACTTTTGTTTGTTTATAATCAAAACGATTGTAAATTGAAAGTAATAATGAAGATTATTTTAACATTGAACTTTATATGTAATGTTCATATTAAGACAGATTCAAAATCAAAATTTTAATAACTAATTTGCTATATTTATTTGGAAATTTGGTTGATTTCAAGAGAAAAAAACGAATTCTGGTTGTAATTAAAAAAAAAATAATCAAAATTTACAATTTATCAACATTTTCTAGTTGTAATTTAAACAATTAAAATTTAATCAAATATTTTTTCTTGTTTTTTTAAATGAAATGCAGAAGACAAATTCAAAAGTTACATTTCAAAAGTTAATTTACCAATGTTAACAGATTTAAGATTATCTTCAGAAACTTTTAATTTTATTATTTACATTTTTTTTGTGGTCCATCAAATCGTACTTTTTAATTAATTATTTATTTGATCTATATTTTATGCAAAATCTGTAAAGCAATTCAACTTTCGACACTTTTAGTTTAAATATTTGGAAAAATTATCAATTTTTGTTTGTTTATCAATCAAAACGATTGTAAATTGAAAGAAATAATGAAGATTATTTTAACATTGAACTTTATATGTAATGTTCATATTAAGACAGATTCAAAATCAAAATTTTAATAACTAATTTGCTATATTTATTTGGAAATTGTTGATTTCAAGAGAAAAAACAAATTCTGGTTGTAATTAAAAAAAAAATCAAAACAATTAAAATTTAATCAAATATTTTTTCTTGTTTTTTAAATGAAATGCAGAAGACAAAGTTCTTGAATTACCACGGATAATCGGCGTTTTACTCTACATTACAAAAGATTAAATCATATCTACATACACTTTTTACAGTTCATCTTGAGACATTTTTAATTAAAATTTTTGATTCGCTTATATTAACAATTAAATCGGTTGTTTAATACCAATTTTTATTGCATTTTAAAGTGCTTTACAACAAATTATCGATGAGATGAATTCAATAAGTTACATATTTAAGATCAACAGTTAAAACACATTTTTATTGCATGTTTTAAATGTGAATTGCAGAAAAGTAATTCAGATGCTTAACTAAATGCAGCAAACGTTAAAAGCATGCATATTTACTTGTTTATCCCATTAACAGTTTAATCTTCGTTCTGCATTCGTTTTTCGAATTCTGCGTCTACCGGGAATTCGCGTTCGCGGAAACAAAAAGAGAAGTAAATAACGGAAAAAAAGAAAAAATATATATATAAAAAAAAAGAGGCAGTAAAGTTCGTCTCGTGAAGGTCAGAGTTTTATGAATACGCTCGGAATCTAGATGCAATGATTCGTCGTCCTTTATCCGCTCGTGTCTGCAGCACGTTCTCATCCTTCGTGTTTTATCTGCGTTTTCGGTGGGCCAGGGATGTTAGGTCGAGTCTCGATGTTTGACCCAAGACGATCATCGTGAGATGATGATGATGATGATGACCATAACCCACTTTTATTGCAAATATATAGTATCAAGTTCGAGTCGAGTTGCGAATAATATTACCAGGCAATTTAAATCAAATTGCGACGGGAAATTGTTGTTATTTAATACAAGATTCGGAAGTGATGTATCTTATCCTATTTTTTTCTTTTTAGTTAAATTCTCATTTATGCAATGTTACATGTAGATTAACGATGTGAGGATGGGACGAAGAGGAGAGTGGCGAATCGTGTTTTGAATGTTAGAGCATTGATAATATGATGCGTCGTGTGTATTTGACCTGCGGTATAAACGATAACCTCTCTCCTCTCTCTCGAGGAAAAACCCATGCTGTCCGTATGCAATTGTTGTTAATTATGTGTGTGGATACATATGGGATCTAGACGTCGTTTTAGATTAGATTTTTTTCTTCTTATATTCGCGTTTTCAAATCCGCCACGTAAAAGTGTTAAATCGAAATGAAAATATTGGATGGAAGTCGCGTTTCGTTTCTCTGTATTATTATTATTTGTTTTTCTTTTCTTCGTCTTGTGTATTACTTTTGCAATGTTTGTCGCGACAAAGGGGGAATCCTTTTACTAAATATAAACTGTTGGCAAACTGCTAATTTTTCGCGATTTTTTTTTGATACTGTATGTGTATATTAAACATATTTTTTTTTTATTTGCGATACAAATATAAATATTGGCTTCGTACCAAAGCCGGTTTACACTCCATTTAGTGCGATATTACTTTATTATGGATAAACTGGTTCAAATTTTCATTCAAATTTCGATTAAAATTATTTATTTGATTTATATTTTATGCAAAATCCCTAAAGCAATTCAACTTTTAGACACGTTTAAGTGTTTTGGAAAAATTTGGAAAAATTATCAATTTTTGTTTGTTTATATAATTGAAAGAATTAATGAAGATTATTTTAACAATGTAATATGTTAAAACAGATTCAAAATCAAATTTTTTATTTAATAACTAATTTGCTATATTTATTTAGAAATTGTTGATTACAAAGAGAAAACGAATTCTGGATGTAATTAAAAAAAAAATCAAGATTTACAATTTATCAACATTTTCTAGTAAACGAATAAAATTTGGTTTTTACATAAATTTTAAATGCACCAATTGTATGTAAAATTGATTCGAATCTAAATTTGAAAATATATATTTTTCAACGTTATGTTTTGATGTTAAATAACAATTTAGATTTTATCAATATTTTCTATAATCAATTTGAAATTATTTAAAGAAAAATGTGAATATTTCTTTATTTGTAGATGATAATTTGGAAATATTGCTTTTAAAATTATTAATTTGAATTTTATATAAGTTAATTGCAAACTTAACTTAAGTTGAATTAAAATTTGAATCTCAAATACAAAACATTATATATATTTTTTGGAAGACTGACAAAATATTCATAGTTTAAAAATTGTCGTATGATATATTATGAAATAAGTGTAGATTATATAAAATATTCAAATCTGTGTTAGTAATGACACTTTTTTGTGTTTAATGAAATTAAGTTAAAAATCACGCAAATTGTATATAGATTTTTGCTTTCTGCTGTTACATAATTGCGGATATTTTTTTTAAATCTAAGCTAATTCTGACTATTTTTATGTGATTCACAAATTATCGAATGATGAATTGGATTGGTGGTTTTGTGTTTGCACGTTGTTGTTTTTTTTTATAGTTCTAATCGTGCAGAGAGATGTTGAATAGATGGCGGTAATTCTAATTGGTCAGCAGCCAGCCGGTGTCTATTGTGGTGGAAAAACTGATCGGCTTTTCCGCCTGGTACGTAATTAGCTTTTGCGGTTTTTCCAGTGGTCGGGGGGCGCGCGCGAAGAGAGGCTGTATGTGTGTGCAGCACGCCTTCTAGATCTAAAAATACTGACGCGTTCGGTCCGGGCCACAGAATCTCTCTGCTCGATGCTTACTCCTCTCTCTTCATCTGAAGCCTTTTTCTTCTTCTCGAGAAGCAAATTCGTACGTAACACCGGGGACGTTAGTTTGTTTTTTTTTTTTGTAATTTGGTTGTATTTATATACTTTGTTTGAATGTTTTTGTAGGTTGGCGTCGCCGTCGTCCGATCAGGAAGAGAACGGCGTGAGGCGGCTGCAGAAGGCGACTGGGCGGAGGGTTGGAGGCGCGGGGGTGGTCGGCAGGACGGCCGACGCCGGGCATCGCGTGAGCCACCAGCTAGTGCTGAACGCCTGGCGCCGCCGAAGACGACAAGTGGCGGCGCTCACTGACTCACGCGATCAACTCCAGACGCAGGTTTGTCATCGACACTTTTTCTGACCCTACCCTACCCTATGCTATTCTTCTACCCTTATCCAAGCACACTCTAATTGCACCTCACACATTTCAATACCATATTTACATTTCGTATATACTATATAGCTTAATTTACTCAATTCTAGTTATATATTACATGCATCCAAAACGAGTTAACTTGTGGTACTTTTTGGTGAAGTCAGGCAATTTTAAACTTAAATAAGTCAATTATAGTGATTAGATTATAAAAACAGATCAATTTTCATCTATATCCAGTAACAATGTTATAAACTAATTTCGGTATTTTGCTATACAATTATGCATAAAAAAATAACCTATACAAAAGTGACAAGTATTACTTGAATCGTTTTTGTATACAATATAAAGATTACATTAAAGTACCAACGAGTATTTAAGTCTGTTCACACGTCTATTTATAATTTCAATACTGACATAAATGTGCCGGTGCTTATGAGTACCATCAAACGACAAAGGGTTAGATCAGAGGTTCCCAAACTTTTTTTGTGTCGTAGACCCCTTGCCATGTTTTTCGGTTTTGGATAGACCCCCTACTTACCTGGTATTGAATTTTTGTAAATTTATTATTTATATTGGGACATCTTTATAATTAATAAGATCTTTGCTCTGAGACTGCACGTATGCTTGTAACAAGATGATTATGGTATATCATTATGTGCAGGTTTTTACAAGTTCAAAATGTATTGCGACCACAAAGCGAATGCCTACATCCTACAACTTACACAATTTTATAAACATATATAATACATTTTTTACTTTATAGATATTTTTATAAATAATGTATATGTCTTTATATTATAAGATAGTATAATGTAAGTAAATAGGTACTATCAGTGTATGTTGAGATCGGGTCTATATCGAAATCCCGACTATATCAAAATCCAGACAACCATAATCCCGACTATATCGAAATTCCGACAATGTCTTTTATTAATATAATTTATACAATAACATTTTAAAATTATTCCGAATCTACTATTATTTAATATTAATAACAATGAATTAATTTTAATTTAGTATATATATCTTAATTTTAAGTTTTATTAAGTCAATGAAAACAAATACAATAATAAATATATATTGTTATTAATAGTGAATAACAACAATTAATAATCTCAACTCCGCGCGTTATATTCTAGAAATAAAAAACTCGAGCGATGAATTTTCAAAATTATCTTTATTATAATACAAAAATGAATAAATTATTTTATAATGAAACACTATGAGCTATTCCGCTAACTCATTAATGTTCTGTTTTGGCGGTCATATATAATACAAGACACTGTCGAGATTTCGATACTGTCGGGATTTTGATACAGTCGGGATTTCGATATAGTCGAGATTATGGTTGTCGGGATTTCGATTGCCACTACCGTGGACCCCCATTTTCATTTCATGGACCCCCAAATTTTTTTTCGCTGACGTAGACCCCTTGCAAGTTTGTCATAGACCCCTGGGGGTCGATATAGACCACTTTGGGAATCACTGGGTTAGATACACTTCAGATCTTTAAATGTGCTACATTTAGTGATGAACTTATATGTTTCATCTTAATTTAATCAGCGTGGTATAGGATGTGTACTACCTTCTATTAGTTGTTTTTGATAGTTATGCAAAACGTGGAGCGAATTGTACTTGATTGATTGGTTTATTATTAATGCACTCACATTCAACGAATAGATTTTTTTTTGTTAGTTATTGCGTCTACTTTCTATGAATCAAAAGTGATTGTTAAATAAATAACTTTCATTGATAATTATATGATTAAATTTGTTAAATACGCCAACGATTCAACGTATGAATTAATAAATTGATTAAGACGCGTGGGAGTCTACATAAAAAAATAATCTATTTATAGTTTTGGTTTAGCTAGGTTTTTCCAGCCTTCGGTCTAGGTGCAGTATCTGCAGATCAATGCATCATTTGCTTATTGTGCATTTCCTTTCCAATTTACATAATTCAATTTAATTTTATATTTACATTTTTTTTTAATAATATTAATTACTTTATTGCATTGAATTTTCAATTTTAAACAATTTTTACTCATTATTATTTGACATAAAATGATTATTTCTTTTTTATTTTTATTTCATCGTCTTATGATTTCTCAACAGCGAAACGTAGAAATTATATGTTTTTGTAATGCATACGGGCATGAATAATTGATGAGCGCAAATGGAATAAAAAGAAAAACACACACAGACGCAAGAAAATGAAACAATCATATTGTTTCATGTGTGTGTGTGTGTGTCTCTGGATTTCGTGGAAAATGCGTTTGGAAAACAAGCGGTTCGAGAAACGTGCGGCCTTTGTATGTGTGTTTTAACGAAGCGCTCGATGATCGCTAATCGATTGATTCTTCGATTTTCGTATGCGGTAACAGCAAATTATTGTGTTTTTTTTAAGAGATTTCGCACTGACAACAATAATATGCACGTATTTCTGTATGTTGTTGCAATTAGAATTGCATAAGAAATAACAACTAATGCTGTATCACGTGCAAAATGATTATTATTATTATTATTATTAGTTATGCAGACGCAATTCTTCAATCTGCGATTCATCTGCGGTGATTCGTTCGCTGCGGTTTAGCATTTGAACTTAGTCGAATGCAAGCAATTCTCATCCACTTTTTTCTTTACTTTTTTTTTTGTTTGTTGCTGTTCTTCCTTTCGCTTCACATTAGCAATCGTCGCGACGACCGGCGCCCCGTGTCCTGCCTATTTTCGTCGTTTTGAGTCAGTCTTCGTCGCGACGACTGTGACTTACGCCTTTTAATAATTATTACTTATTTCCACTCTAAATTAGAATATCCGAGGCGGCTGTCTGCAGTCTTATTTTCTTTGTGGTTTGGAGTCGATATAATTTATTGCATGAGATGATTTTGATGATTTTTGTTTGTTTGTTTGTTTGTTTGTAGATGGAGCAGTTGAAGATGCAGGTAGATGTGCTGCAGAAGTTGAGAGTGTCGGAGGCGGGCAGAAGGGGAGAGGCTGTTGCGGAATGCAAGTCGTACGAGTTGAATCTGGTAGCAAGTAGACTGCTCAACGAGGAAATGCAACAGGTCTTTATTATACTTCTTTCCAAAAATAAACTACCTCATTCCACCGATCCAAACTAGTTCTGCCTCATCAAACTCTTCGAGCCTCAACAAAAAGTACAATTTAAGAAGGAACATACAAATATTTACATACTCTTGACATGCACGTATTATATTTAACACAAGGATTTCTTGAAGTAACAATAATTACCTTTTACGCAGATACTAAACTCACAAAATTACATTTTTCCATATAAAGTTTGGATAAACTTTAAAATCTACATTTTTTTATGATAAAATTTGTTGCTTAGGCTGCTTTGGTTGCGAAGAACAAAGTGGAGGATCTTACGGGAAGATTGGAAAAGATGAAGTTGGAGCTGATGAATGAGCGAAATCAGACTAAGAATGTGGCAAGTCAGAGAGAGCTTTGCGAGCAGGCTTACGCTGCGGAGAAGCAACAGGTTCAGTTGCTCAAGGAGGAGAGGAACGCTCTTATAACCAGGGTAAGTCTTTCGCAAAGGTTCCCCAATTTTATACATGATTCGGTTAGAAATGTGTGATTTTCATTTGAACGTCTATTTGATTGTCATTCTGAAGATAGTTTCGAATAATGCAAAGACTTATCTATTTATATATTGAGAAAGTGTAATATTTGATAATCAATGTTTACTTTATATTATTCTAAAAAAAAGTGTGTTTAACAATTGCAATTTTCGGTAGCACCGTAGACCACGATAGACTTTTTATATTTTCGGTAGCACCGTAGACCACGACAGACTTTTGATATTTTCGGTAGCACCGTAGACCACGATAGACTTTTGATATTTTGATTCTTGCGTATATTTCTGGTAACACCGTAGATTATGGTAGAATTTGAAAAACGTTTGTAGCACTTTTTGAAAATTATAATATCGGTAGCAACGAATATTCGTGTTTAAAAATTATGTTTTGATTGATTGTAGATTATGTTTTTTTTTAATGCAAACATGGGTGTGAAAGAAATGAGAAATGATTAACATATTCAATTTATTGATGTGGGAAAAACCTCGATATTATTTTTAATTGTATTGTAGCAGAAAATTACGTGCTTTACTCTTACCATCACTTTTTAATTACTTGTTAGTGTAATTACAAAAGAAATGGTTATTAGCGGTAATAACTTAAATGTAAATGTATTTTATTGTAGTTTGAAAAGGAACCTTCCATTTCAATACAATCACCCATCCAAAACTTTCGACGAATTGCTTAACTTTAGAAAATTGCGAAATATCAATTATTGTGAAATGGTAATTTTTCTATGAATTGATACATTATACATTATTGTGATTTATTGCGGATTGAATTTACATTTGCGTTAATCTGTTCTACGTTGGAATAAAAAAAAGAAAAGATTAATATGATAGTTTGTGTAGGGAAAAACCTCGATATGGTTAATTGCATTTTGTAATACATTATACAGCACGTGCTTCGCAATCTCTCTATAATTGCTTGTTGATCCATCATCTTCTCAAACCAGACATTTACCAAATATTTGATTGTTGCAAGTTTATTAAAAAAAAATATATCAAGGTTGAAATTTGTTGACCTGTGCTCAATTATGATTAGAGCAATCACATTGCAACTAATTTTATTTTATATAAACGATTGAGCTGTCTCAAATTATAGCGTTGCAATAAAGATCAATGGATCATCATCGTTTGTTGTGTAATTGGAGATGTCTTCGTCTGATGAGGAGAGTAAAAGCAGGTGTTCTCCGCTCCGGGAATTCCCAAGCGGTTAAGAAAATCCCCTGCACGCACGTCGCTCTTTGCATATATGAATTTCATTCACTAAAGTAGAGAGCATATTCGGTCGGGGAATTCCCGGCTCCGTTCGCCTCACTTACTCACTTACTGTTCAACTTACACATTACAGTTTAGTAGTTATTAATGTATGCAAACGTTCAATTAATAAATATGCGTGCAACCATCGAGAGAGCTCGTTCGTACGCGAAGAAAAAAAAGCAAACGCATTGTGATGCAACATCCTTTAAAAAATTGTGTCTAGGAAGCGCCGCCGCCGCGATTGTGAAATTCGGTCTCGCTTTTCAATGTCTTTATTTAAATTGCGTTTTTTTTTTATATAATCGTACGTTAACACCGTTGATTTGTTATTCTAGTGACTAACCGCGTTGAATAGCAATTATCTCATTGCTGCTGCTGCTGCTACCGTTTTGTTATCTGAGGGGGAACTTTAATTTCAGACGCAGCAGAAAAAGTCCCGCCAATAATGGTTTGTTATTAATTCATTTTAGTGTTACTTATTTTTTTTTTTCGTAATCCATTGTTTGAGCACGACTTGAGGAAGCGAGCGTAAACGCTGTACTTTACCTGCAACAATAACACGCTAATGTCACACTACTGTTGTTGTTGTTGCTGTTATGATGATGTGGTTCATTTTCATTCCATTTTTGTTTTAATCCTCTTTCTTTGATTTGATTTGTTATTGTTGCAGAGTTTTTTTTTTTTTTTTTCGTTTCGTTCCAAGGTCGGAACCCAGAGGTAGGCCTCTCATCTGGCGGTCGCGTGGGTGCGTGATACACACCGTACATTTTGTTGTAACCCTGCTTTGTTGTGTGTGTGTGTGTGTGTGTGTGTGCTTTATCTCCGTTTCTCTTTCCATCTGAAATAATATGGTCGTTTGGATTTCCTCGGAATGTTGTTTTTGCTTCTTGCTTGCTCTCTCCTCAGTTGTTGCTGCGAGTCGCGATTCTCGGTAGGAATTGGTAGGGAATCCAGTTTCTCTCTGGTTCCGCGAAAACGTACCGTACAAATCGGATTCGGTTGTAGTAGTAGGAAGGTTAAAAATGTTGCCGTACTTTCCATGCACACCTACTCGTTATAATACACGCAATACTTCTAATGTCAATTTGGATTGATAATATTTCCATCAATCATTTTTTTATTTTATTGAAGAAAGTAGATGTTTTTAATGATCATTTTCGATTCAATTGAAGAAAAGCTCTCGTGTTTCATGTTTGCCAAGCAATTTGTGCAAGTACTTGCGATTTGGTTCAATTTGCAACCAATGAGATCTTTATATTGTATTGAAGAAAACCGGTTGTTTTTATCATAGCTGCGACCACACAACTTCAGATTAGTGAAGTTATAGAGTTAGTGAATGAGAGTTTTCACTAATAAGATTTAGAGTTTATTTATATTTTCATAATTCAAATATTTTGAATTTTTTTTCATATGGAATGTAGAGAAAAAAAAAATTAAAGAAAAGCTCTCGTATTTCATGTTTGCCAAGCAATTTGTGCAAGTACTTGCGATTTGGTTCAATTTGCATCCAATGAAATCTTTATATTATATTAGAGAAGATCGCTTGTTTTTTATCATTAATAATCTAGATAGCTGCGACCACACAACTTCAGATTAGTGAAGTTATTGAGTTAGTGAATGAGAGTTTTCACTAATAAGATTTAGTGCTTATTTATATTTTCATAATTCAAATATTTTGTAATTTTTTTTCATATGGAATGTAGAGAAAAAAAATTAAAGAAAAGCTCTCGTATTTCATGTTTGCCAAGCAATTTGTGCAAGTACTTGCGATTTGGTTCAATTTGCATCCAATGAGATCTTTATATTATATTAGAGAAGACCGCTTGTTTTTTATTATTAATAATCTAGATAGCTGCGACCACACAACTTCAGATTAGTGAAGTTTATGAGTTAGTGGATGAGAGTTTTCACTAATAAGATTTAGTGCTTATTATTTATATTTTCTTAATTCAAATATTTTGAAATTTTTTTCATATGGAATGTAGAGAAAAAAAATTAAAGAAAATCTCTCGTATTTCGTGTTTGCCAAGCAATTTGTGCAAGTACTTGTGATTTGGCTCAATTTGCATCCAATGAGATCTTTATAATGAGATCTTTATTGAAGAAGACCGCTTGTTTTTTATCATTGATAATCTAGATAGCTGCGACCACAGAACTTCAGATTAGTGAAGTTATTGAGTTAGTGAATGAGAGTTTTCACTAATAAGATTTAGTGCTTATTATTTATATTTTCTTAATTCAAATATTTCGATTTTTTTTTCATATGGAATGTAGAGAAAAAAAATCGTCGATCTATGCGTCGAACTTCCATTTTTTGTAACAATCTTATCATCTTCATACTTTATTTTGTTTGCACATTTGCTTGTTTTTTTAAACAAATACATTAATTTCGCTCAACTCTATAACAGCTTGAAACGAGCGTAAAAGTAATCTGAAAGTTATCGCACAAAATGAACAGATGTAAACAAGTCTGAGTCATGCTCTTAGTTTGTGTAATTTGAAGATTTACGCATGGCTTTTGAGAGGTTTTAGGCAACTTTATAAAGCGGAACTTCTGGTTTGGGCTTTATTTTTCTCCCCAGTAAAGTCGTTTCGCTTCTGAGAAACGCGCGCTTTTTTTTTGCCGAAAGGGGGGTGATGCGTGTGAGTCACCCTTTGAGAACGGACTGCGTTCTGGGGGGGTAATTGTTGTTGTTGTATGTTAGGGAAGGAGGAGGAGTAGGAGGAGGAAAATGAGTCAGAGGAGCGTCGCGACGCTTGCCTGCGAGCGCCGCCACCGGTGAAGCAGCGCCCGTCAGGCTGGCTGTGGATGGCGATTTAATATGCGGCGATTGCTGAAGTCGTTATATATACATGATTATTATTATTACTACTATACACCTGTGTGTCAGTCAGGTGCGTGCCTCTGCGTGTCTGTATTTCAGATATTACGTTATCCGTTCTTCATTCTTTCCTTCCTTCCTTCGTTTCCTAACTACCCACCAAACAAACAAACACATCCGCTCACTACTCCACTTTTTCACCTTTGGTAATGTTGTGGGATTTTCTGCGACCGATGAATGATGATTAAGCAACATTCCCGCAAATTAGCGGTGAATTTCCTTTTTCTACGATCTATTTATAGAATATACACGTACAATACATTAACGAAACTGTTGATAAATTATAGTTTAATAGTATTTGACTGAGAGATTCTAGGAATAATATATAGTAATTATATATCAAGCTTTGAAAATGTTATCGAATTTCTCAAACATTAAATTAACTATTGGACTTCCAAATTAAAGGGATTTACTTGATTTGTAATTTCTAAATTGATGTAATAAAAAGCTTTCATTTCTTGAAAACTACGAAAGGTGTATTAAGTACTTGTATAAGTACATGTGTATCACAACTAGGGATTTTATTGAATACCAATGGAATATTTGTGATATTCTAATTTATTATCAAATTTGAAGTTATGTAATAAAAAACTTGTCTCTACATTTTATCGAATTTCTCAAATACCACAAAAGATAGATCAAATTTTGTAAGTGCAAATTATGTTTGAAATTGTAGAATATATTTTCAAAGTAATTAAAGTTGTATAACACTTGTGACTTTCTGAAAGTTGAAGTAATGAAAAGCTAAGCGCTTTTATATAAAATTGAATTTCTTCAAAATCACGGGATTTGGACAAAAAAAATAGCTAAAGAATACTTTAGTTCTTGTAATTTACTGTCAAATTCTTTTTAATGTTCTATTTTAATGTTAAAATCTATTTAGTATTCTAGTAATTTACTGGAAAAGAAAATGAAAATTTAAGATTTCTACGCTTTTCTCTATAGACTTATTTTGTAATTCGCGCTACTCATCCTTTCCTAGATTACGGAATTAAAATCGCATGTTTTCTCGTTAACCGAATGTAGTGAATGCATAGGATGTTAGCACGTAGACAGCAGAGTCATGTTATCATTATCGTTATACAGATTACTAAAAAAAAAAAGATTGTTGCTGTATTTATTCGTAATGTGTCATATAACGTTTTTCGGACTAAAACGAATCGTCTGATTGTTAATTGTTTGGATTTCGATATTATTATTATTATTATTGTTCTATTTGGAAATTAAAATCTAATTGGAATACAATTATTTATTGATGATGTTAGGAATTATTTTGTTTTGTAACAAATATCAGAATGTGATTCATGTTAGAAATTGCAAAAAAAAACAACAACAACTTTAAACTATTATGTGAAGTTTATTGATGTTTTTTTTTTTAAATGTTTATTTAAGAATATAAAATTAATGTGTATAGTAAGCAAATGCAGTATGTAACCTTGCAGATTGAAGAATTTGAGCGAATGATAACTGTGGAGCAAGACTACAGCAAGAAGTTGGAGTTACTTGTTCAGGATAATGAAGTGAAGAATGCGGAGTGGAGGGAAAAGTGCAGTGCGTTGGAATTGAAGACGGCACAGTTGGAAAAGTGAGATTTTTCTTTCTCTCGTTTTCTACATTTTTACAATGTATTTTTAATGATTGTGATTAACTCTCGATGAAAGGTCGAAGGTGCAGAGAAATGCGGAGATGCAGTCGATGAGCATGAAACTGGAGAAGCTGGAGTCTAAGGTGCAAAATCTCAAGTCGATGCTGTCCAAAACGCAGAAGGAGAAGAACAACGCTTTAGATGAGAAGACGTTTTTATCCGCCAGGTTGTTCCTTCTGGAGAGAGACATGGAAGCCAGAGAAGCGCATCGTTGGTGGAAAACCACAGGACATCTAGTGTACAGATCATTGGGAAGTATATCTCAAATGCTTTTTCCCGCTATTCCGAAGGACGTAATCCAGAATACGATTTGGGCGAAATGAAACGAACAAACTAAAGGGACAATTTATATATATATATATTCATTATTATACTTTTTTTTTTATTTCTCATCATATTTACAATCAATTATTGTTTAGCACTAAATATTGTACTATGTAGCATTAACAAGAAACGTTAACTAATAATTAATAATAATGATTTGGTTAAAATAAACGTTTTGGTGAGTCACAACCTAAATTTTAAACGTAGTGAACACAACCTAAGGTAGTGCGCAATAAGTATCATCTATGTTTAGCAAAAAAAAAAAAACCATCACTAACCGCAAATGTTTTAATTTTTATTACTATTCTTAATTGGCTAAGTAATAAGTGGACATAATTTGTTATTTTTTTTTGCTGATCATAGACGATAGTATCGTAATTGACTGGAGAAAGTATCAATATGTTGCTTGCTCAAAAATATATGAACGAAAATTAACAATAACAAACAGAAAATGTTGACAATTCTCCGTAAATTGTATATGTAGTATATTGTATATATAGAAAATGCAAAAGCAATAAATATCTTTGTGACTTCTCTCGTAACTACACGTAAACAAACAAAGGTAATAAGTTCTATCACTTGAGAAGTCTCAAAATTCACCCGTTTCTCACTTTTTTTTCTTCTTCCTTCCTTACGCTTCTTCGTTTATAAATTATTACTTTTGATTCCTCTTTGGACGTGCTGCTGCGACTTTCCTCCTCCCAACAGTATCACATTTTACGAAAACGAAGGACAAATAAAAAAAAAAGAGTACAAGTGGGTACAAAAACAACATCACAGACTGTGTAATAAATCGAGAATGGTCGCAGTTCGCAGACAAAGGAAAATAATTAAAAAAAAAACAACAGCAACATTAAAACAATGGTAACGAAAAAAAATGTAGAAGAACCTGGGGGAAATCATTGTTTCCATCCCGTTTCTTCCAGTTATTTATCTATTATTTAACACGACGTTTTGAAGGCGCGTTCCGTAAACGTATTGTCTTGTTATATTATTCATGCGAGATTGTTGCTTGCTTCTTTGTGCTATTTTACCTTCTAGCAGCGCGATTTTGAAAAAAAAAAGAAAACCCTACAGTCTGTCTCTACTCGCTCATCTCATCTCTCGTGTTATCCGCTTTGAGAGAATCTGGTCCCTAAATGTACGCAATATAATCTATACATATGTATACGAGTGTAAATCAAAATTGCTATAAAATCCTCGCGAAACGATCTAACACGAAGGGCGGCGAGTTTCCGATTTGATAGGGGTGCGGAACAGAAAAATTAATTGGACTAGAGATAATATCAAACGGAATTCGTCGTCGCCCAACTTTGATGATCATCAAAGAGCCGAAGGTGTAGTTGTAGAAGACGTCCAGATCCTCTTCCATCGATCACACCATTCCGAAACCTTCGGTGCCTTCGCTGATGGCCAACAGCAACGACTTCTCGAAGTGCTCGTAAGAGTCGTAGTCGGGAAGGCAGAGCTGATTGAAACTGCAAAGAATTGCGTTAAAATTGTTGAATTAATTGTTGAATGTAAGAACTTGCCAAGTATGCGCGGTTGGCAGGTTGCCGAAGGTCGGTGCAGCGGTGATCTGGAACCTAGGATTGAGCTCCTTGAAACCGCCGGGCGGGAGCTGCGAACATCCTGTGGTGAATTGCAATAACCTGGCCATCTCCTCCTGCGTGAAATTGCTGACTGCCGCCCAAAACCATCCGACGATCCTCCGGAACTCCACCGAGTTGCCGTTCACCACGTTGTGCTGCTTGAAGTCCGCGATGGAATACTGCCCGGTGCCGCACAGTAGCAACTGGAAAGCCCATAGTAACAAATATTATTAAAAATCAAGCATCCCACATCCAATTACAATAAAATCCTTTTCGTTTTTCAACAATTTGTTAATTAATAGGATGGAAATACTTACTTCAAGTTCGTTCTCGTCAAAGATGCTGAGCAGATTGTCGGGAATGAGTTCATTCAGACCCTTGAGGAAGGCCTCCAACTCGTCCTTGATGCTCTTCGCAAGTCGATACTGGGCGAGGGCATCCAAATACTGATGTTTGCTGTTGTCGTCCACTCGAATCTTCGTGCCGTTCGGAATCAACTCGATAAGTTTACTCAACTGTCCGCCACTGTCGTATTGTTCCTCCACGAAGAAGATTTCCGTGTCGATTTCGTCGATGTCGTTGTCTAGGATGTACTTGACTTTGGACAAATACAGGTCGGGATCGTCTTGTTCAAAATACTGAAATAAAATAATTGTCTGTTACTGTCTACTAGTTGATTTAGCTTATAAATTATACCTTGTAGTGAACTCTAAGACCTATGACCTGCGCTAGGAAGGACCTGGTGAATCGGGCTCGAACCAGCTGACGATATGAACCGCCGAGTGCGCTCTCGTACAAGCACTTTCCCACAACTTTTCCGGCGAATTCGTAGTGTTTCAGCTTCAAGTTGCCCGTTCTATGTGCGTTCGGATGCACCAGAGACTGTTGACCGTCGTGAAAGCTGCGGAACAGGTTGTACTTGGGATCGAAGAGCTGCACGCAGATGAGCTCGAACCATTCGCGCCGAACGCCACCCCAGTCAATACCCTCTTCCCCTTGAAACGTGATCTCGAAGTTCCTGCACCAATCCGACACGCTGAAGTTCTTTGTTGCTTTCATGCTGGACTCCAACAGCTTTTCGCGATTCACCTTCATACTGAGCTTCTCGTGGTAATGCTTCTGGTGATACTTGCGCACCTCGTGGTAGAAGAACTCTTGCTTATCTTTAAACGTCTCCGAGCCTCCCATATTCTTCAGAAGGTACTGAGCGAAGGTGGCTGCTATAACGTTGCGCTCTTTGGAGACGAGCTCCAGCTTCGGCTGACATCCGTCCTCTATCGTGAAAGATCCGTCGTACGCGTCCAGCTGCTTCGTCGGCGACGGCACTGACGGTTGGAACGTAAACTGCAACATCGACAAGACAACTATAATAGTAACAGAAAAATTCTGAATACATTTCAACTTACTTTGGTGGAGGGACACAGCCTGAACGTGTACAGTCTCTTTGGTATGAATTTGAGGATCAGTTCTTTGATGATGAGCTGCTTTGGTGAGACGTAGCAAAGGACGCGTTTCGGTTTGAAAGCGTGATCGCCGTTGATGCCGACCAGCTTCGCTTCGTAGCAGATGTTATGATTTTTGGAGGCGACGTTCTTGTGCACCAGCGTGGAATCGATACCTGCAGATGGAGATTAAGTTCGGTTAATGAATGAATGGATGGATGGATGAGGAATCTCAATCACTCACTATTCAAGACGATAATGTCGAAGTCGCCGTTATGCAGTTCGGTGCCATTGTATTTGATCGTCGCGTGGAAACATCCCTCGTACAGGAACTTCAGCTGAATGCTGATTCTTTGGTTCTGCCAGTCGTAATCTAGACTCACGGTGTATCTCTTCTCCTCAGTTACATCCGGATTACAGCTCTGTGATTTTCCACCCAGCTGCGTCAGCGTAACTGTGTAACCCTAAAACAATGAACTGATGAGTATTAATTACATATTAATTAAACTTTGTACGTACTCGAGTTGGATCATCGGAAGGTGTGAATGTGCATACATTGTTGTATTCATCTCTGGGTTCGATGTAGAGGAGGTGCGCAACGCTCGCCGTGCAGACGACGGTGCTGCAATGTCTGAGGACGATGGTCCTTTGGGCGTCGGCAGGACCAGCTGTGAAGCCTCTGGTGAACGGGGATCCGGCCACGTGCTGGTTTCCGATCATAACGGATATCCGGTAGTGGCCGGCGTGTCGCACCATGAACTTGACTCGCGCTTGATTCGCGCTGTTCGGGTCCGTTGGTGAGCCCAGCTCCGTGATGATGGCCATCTGCAGAACAGGTGTATTCCGAAATATAGGATGTGTTCTACTGCAAATCTACTACAATTCTTACCTTTCTGGAGCCCTCGGAGACTTCGACGGACAGTTGATCGGTATCACAGATAGGGTAAGGTTGTCCGTTGCGTTGGAAGAAGTGGACGGTGAAGCAGACGGTGCTTCCGACCGTGTGCGGATCTGACCAGTTGAAGATGACCTTGCAATTGGAGGGTAGAAGGTACTTTCCCGTCACGTACTGCAGAAGGGAGTGCTTCGCTTCCGGGGCCAAAGAGGGCTGCGTGATGGCGGCCAGAGTAACCAATCCGGCCATCGAAACCGATACCACCAACATTCCACCTGTTACAAAACAAAACAAAAACAATCAATAAACAATCAAATTTCAGCAACAAATCACTTTGACAGCTAACTTCACATCAACATCCATCAACTAAAGAATCCTCTTAAGTAGTGTGAATAGCCATCAATACTTGTCAAGTAACTTATAATTAATACAATAAGGACTGCGTACATCTTAAATAGATAAAGTTTAACTTACCAAGTAACAAATCATGTATTTGACAACCTGGACGAGTATTAATACCTGCAGTACATCGTACAAACAACGCGTCTACCAGTTGAACGAGAACAACAACTACCATTTCAAACAAACTATTGTTGTCATGGATACAGATAACAGTGAAGTTTACGATTAACGCGAAGGGTTCGAATTTCTTTTTCTTTTTTACAACACTGTTTTTAGCTGTCAACGTTGTTTATTATTTACAAAAGACAATCGCTATTAAACAAAATCCATACGTTTCAAATCCATACCGTAATCAATCATCTGTCATCGTTGAAAACAAATGTTATATTAAAAAAAAATAGTTTCTTCATTATTCAGTAATTGTATAATCTATTTCTTATTACTTTGAGCTGATGTAAAAAAAAAAACAAATAATTTCAAATTTAGTTGAACGAATTCCGTTTTTGAATAAAATTGTGTGATACCTTAATCTAGTGGACTTTGATTTCTTTAATCATATGTCAATGTCAAAATTTGGATTTTTTTAGATATTTCAGATATTTTTAATTATATTTTCATGAAGATTACTAAAACCACAAACGAACGTAGAATTAGTTATTTTTTTGTATAAATATAAAAAAAAACTGACAAATCGATTATATTTCAATATTTTGGATTATTCAGACACATGTCAATATTAAAAACAAACGATTCTCAATAGAAGTTATAGTGAGTTATGCTGTTTAAATAATCAAATATGTTAACTAAAAACATAATCCTGTTCTATTTTACCATTTCGGTTAGGGTTTGTGTGCTTTCGTGCACTTGGAGATTACAAGAATAAAACCTATGCACTCACAGCCTTTGTCAATACCTACAGTTGTTACTTGAAAGTGACTTATTATACTAAATGTAAATAGTTAATAATGATCAACGTAATAACTTCTTTTGTTATTAACTACAATTTATTATAATTTAACATTGAGAAATAATAGATTGTTTTGATTATAAAACCGTTCATTTACATAAAAGAGACAAAATCTACGTTTTGTTTATGTTTTTTCATTCAACATACTTGATTATTTAAATTAAATAACTTCTGTTGAGAATTGTTTGTTTTTAATATTGACATGTGTCTGAATAATTCAAAATATTGAAATATAATCGATTTGTCAGTTTTTTTTGACATCTGTCACATCAATATTGACATCTGTCTAAATAATTTAAGTTTTCAGTTATTGCAAGCCCGACAGCCGATAGACAGTCTATTGAAATCCCGACGTTCGAAATCCCGACAATCAAAATCCCGACTATGTTGAAATCCAGACTTTGACATAGTCGGGATTCCAAGCGTCGAGTCTCTAATACAGTCGGGATTTCGATAGACGGTCAATCGGTTGTCGAGTTTGAGATATAGACACTGAAAACTTAAATTATTTAGACAGATGTCAATATTTAAAAACAAACAATTCTCAACAGAAGTTATTCAATTTAGATAATCAAGTAGGTTGAATGAAAAACATAAACAAAACGTAGATTTTGTCTCTTTTATATAAATGAACGGTTTTATAATCAAAATAATCTATTATTTTTCAATCATGTCAATGTTAAATTATTATAAATTGTAGTTAATAACAAAAGGAGTATTTACATTTATTATAATAAGTCACTTTCAAGTAACAACTGTAGGTATTGACAAAGGCTGTGACTGCTTAGGTTTTATTCTTGGAAACTCCAGGTGCACGAAAGCACACAAAAAAAACCCTAACCGAAATAGTAAAAGTGACGTTTCGAATGCACAACAACACCGTCATCCCCCGCCGCCCCCTAAACTAATCCCTGCACGTGTCTGAAGATCAAAAATTATCACGTCCAAATATACTTGAAACAATAGAAGTTTTGCATTCAATTACAAGTTTAAAAAAACAAACAAATAAAATAAAGCGAGATGAATTTTGATTTGATTTACGGTCGACGGCCGCAAAATACGCACCCAATAATATCTTGTGTATGATGGTGCTACCAACAACAAGATCACACAAGATTCCCCACATTCACGATTTCATCACGCCGCCGCCTGCCGCGATGCGAGTAGAGTAGTAGTAGTAGTTAGAAAATAAGATCTGGGATGAATCACGCCGACGGATTGCATTTGCGTAAACAAAGAGGAAAAGATCACGACGAAACACTGGCGAGGAGCGACGGACCCACCGACACCCACGGAAATCGACCACAACTGCACGAAGAATAACAGCAGCAGCAGCAGCAGCGATTGCAGACAGAGGAAATATCCCAAAAAAAAAAAAAAACAGGTTTCGCATCGCTCTTTTCGACCGACACCCCTCTTCATGATCGGTGCGGTGCGAAGAGGAGGAGGAGGGTAGGAGCACCACCACCCTCCCTCTACACTACACACATTCACAAACCCTCCTCCTTCCCCAAATGGAATCGGGTGGCAGGTAGAAAAAAGCCCACCCACATCATCCGATGATTCGCAATAGCATCGGGCAATCGGCGAAAAATGCGGTCCTCGCAAACAGTTCTTTTTTTTTTGCATTATTTATTCCTCGGTAGTTTCCAATGAAAGACCACTGCTTTATTGAATTTAGTACAATAAAAAAAAACACTTCAGGGGTTGATGACCACTACAAATGGCAACGACATCTATACGTTCACAAAACGGACAGAAAGTTTTAAACAACAAATTCTTTCTGTATTTGTAACAACAAAACTTAATATTATTGTGATATATTGATATCTTCAAATTTGCTAGGAAATTGTATTTAAAATTCAAATTTTCTTATTTTTTTTTTGTAAATTTTGAAAAATTATGAAAATCGTGATTATATTTAGAATGCTTTGATTTCTATTGTTTGTTACAATTCAGAAAAGTTGAAAATTTAACATAATTAGAAAATATTAAATTTTTCTTTGATATCTAATAAGATATTTTTAAATTTCATTGAAAATCAATTTTATTTTCTCCATAAATAATTCAGATCTTTGAAAAAGTGAAATGAATCAATAAACAAAAGTATGACAAATATCTTACTTACTTACATACTTTATAAAATACTTGTCAAGTATCAAATTACTTGTACTTGCTTAAATTAAATTGTAGGAAAACGTAGGAAATTGTATTTAAAATTCAAATTTTCTTATTTTTTTTTGTAAATTTTGAAAAATTATGAAAATCGTGATTATATTTAGAATGCTTTGATTTCTATTGTTTATTACAATTCAGAAAAGTTGAAAATTTAACATAATTAGAAAATTTTCGAAAATCTTATAGAAAATATTAATTTTTTCTTTGATATCTAATAGGATATTTTTATATATCATTGAAAATCAATTTTATTTTTTTTATAAATAATTCAGA